TTGTTCGGCCAACTAAGATGAAACACAACGCAACACAACGGCTCTCACTTTTCGACTGCTTCTTGTTGTCTAGGCTCAAGCGGGATTTCATTATTCGCGCGTAAAATCAATGCTAATTCTTATGTACACACAATAATGGATGGGTAAGTATGAACTGTGATCACTGTTCAAAATGAATTTCTCATTTTTGAATGAAAATGACTTTAAAAAATATGTACAAATGAAGCCGATAGCTCGAATTGCTTCTGAGCAAAGGTTTTTCAAGTGTAAAGAAGGCAGTTGCCCTCAAATGATTTTGTAAAACAAAATGGAGTCGACTTGCAGAGGCGCAGGGGATTTACGAAGGACGCTTCAGCTACCAGAAACTTTCCTCGTAGATCACCTGTGCTTGTTGTTTACTCTCCATTTTATTAATCAGGCTTGTTAGTTCATCTGGAAACGACTCGTTGTATATACAGTGACGGCGGGGGATTCAAAGACACATAACGCAGCTTACCTTAGAATCAAGCCTTCTCACTCTCAATCAAGTTTTTTTTTTTGAGAAATACGGAACTGTTCACAAACGTAGAATGAGGCGTCCACGACTCTTATAGTGCGTGACAAGGAGTCGGCACTCGTGAACAACGATCCACGTGGTGGTGTGTCTACATCTCGCTCTCCATTGTGCTCTCTCGTCTATCCCCTCTTCTCGGCCTCTACTGTCTTCGTCGTGCATGAACCACCTCCCAAGAATGAGGCTTACCATCCCGTTGCTTTGACAACTTATTTTGCCTTTTGCTCCAGTGCCTATCCTCTTCTCACTTACGCTTTCATTTTGGAGCAAAATAACCACATCTTTCGATAGTGAAATGTGGCCTCGAAGGTGGCTTTGGTTAATTTGGCTGAAGGAAAAATAAAGCCCCTCATAAACAGCCATTAAAGGAATCTTGCGCGGAAAATTCTTGCACTCTTTCCTAACATGAATATGTCAGTTGTGATCACTGGAAATAGCACACAAAGTTTCACGCATGAAGATTCGGTTTCTGAAGAGAAACAAACGTACAAAAACTACACGTTATGGACCATCGAAGGACCAGGAGGCAGAGCCAGGCGAGGCATGGAAAGAAGACGGCGTTTGGCCGGCTACGTACCAGGCGACGCAATGAGAGAATCGGGTTAAAGCGCGCGATTTCGGAGAGTGGAGACAAATCGATCGATGGAATAGGATGGAGTAGAAGTGTAAGATGTGAATGCAACGAAGCAGAAGGCCAGAAAGAGCTTCTAGTGAATGCACTCCAAGAACCAAGTTTGAGCATCCCCGTCGCCAGCATTCGTGAAAGACGTCCGTGGGCAATTCGAACGCGTAGCAGCCTTTTCGAGTTTTCGAATTTCTAATCAAAACGAAAGCAATACTTCAGTTCTTTTCACTATTATCGTGGATAATGAGTCTCAAGCCAGTGATTTATGGCTGAAATAGAATCATGATTTTTCCGCGCAAGATTCCTTTAATGCTGGTGCACGGACCTATACAATGACACTGTGATAGATGTGGTCGATTATTCTTCTCTGGGCGTTTAATCGGCGTTGTACATTATCATGACATACGGTATTGGGTGTGTAGTGCATACTTCAGCGTCTTAGGGGCGTATCTGCAGAACTGCAAACGCTTGCTGGTATATTCAGTTAGGGGGGCTCTCCTTGGTATCTAATCCGTAGTCTCCTCAACAAGTCCGTAGACCCGTTGAAATATCACGGACAGCAGAGCAGTGGGGACGATAGATTGAGAAGTAGTAAGACTTACATTCCATCGGCAGCTGGCGCACCGTAGAGTTGATACCTGGAAGGCGAGAATGAATGATAGGTGTGATTGGTCAGCGAAAGCGATGTCTCAAAATCGTATAAATATCTCTTTAGCCTCTAACTTGAGGGACAGAAGGTTTTGGAAGATAGGTGTGACCTTAGGGCGCTTGTGGCTAGTTTATTGGAATAGTGTAGTTGTGGCGTGTGACTCAGGACAGAGTGGAGAATGTTCAATTGAACTCCGTTTATACGAAGTTATACGTATTAGGGGGATAATCATTATCTTCCTGATTTCCTCCACCTTCTACTTCCTCACGTCCATCTTCTCCATTTCCATCACTTCTCATCCTGAAACCGGCCATTCCCCCTAACATCCCCCGTAGTGACCAATAGGTCACTCAATTTTGGGAATTAGGTTTTTTACCTAATTCTTCCCATGGGAGTTCAGCCCTCTATGCCTATACACTTCGCGAATACCTTCTATGCTATACAACTAACATCGAAACATTTGGATTGAACGTTGTTCGTTAATTTTCCGTTCTCTTTCTACTTCTGTCTTCGGTCAGCGCGAGTTTCTATGGTCTTCTCGTCGCGTTAGGGTTCTTCGCCTTCCCTGCCTGGCTTCGATGCCGACGGCCTTCATTGTCCCGCTGATCATACCACCTCTCCCCCCCCCACCGGCGGCGGTACCAGCGGGCGGCCTTCTTCCGCGCCCCCTCCGGCGTGGCCTGCCCCCTACTGCGGTACCTACCGGCACCATCGGCATGCACACCGGCTGATGTGGTGTTGAAACCACCACCACCGGCGACGGTAGGGGAGAGGTGGCTTGAGCGGTTAAGGGCGGCGCCTGCAGCATCATAGATCCTCCCAAGGTTTGTGCAGCTCCGTGAGTCGTTAGTCTCATCCTGATCGCCAGTTGTGGCGTGTGACTCAGGACGGAAGTGGAGAATGTTTATTGAACTCCATGGGGGTGCTTATATAGGGGGATAATCATTATCTTCCTGATTTCCTCCACCTTCTACTTCCTCACGTCCATCTTCTCCATTTCCATCACTTCTCATCCTGAAACCAGGCCATTCCCCCTAACATTCGTATAGATTCAATTTATATGTAAGCTTGCGTTGGGGCCACTCGAGGCTAATCAATCTACCTCCTCGGGGTCGTTCAAGTACACCAGACCCCTCTAAAGGGCAAAATCACTGAAATACCACAGGGCCAAGGCTACGTAGGAGTGAGCCTTCATTGGGGAAAAATCTGACAGAGATACTATTCGTTCTCGTAAATAACAAACACTGTATCCAGAATTGACCTACGTTCCCGTTCGATTCCGCCGTTTTTGGCAGACAGCGAAGAGAATTGCGCAAATCGTCGTTAGAAGGAAGAAACACGCGAGAATCAGTAGTATCAGAGTCAGTGCTGAAAAAGGAGAACATTTAGAAATTCCTATAATTTCAGCTGAAATTATGCATTACAAATCAAGTTTGTTTTCATTTTCTACAATTCTTTCCATGTTAACGCGACGAAGGTCTAGAGATCTAACAGTGCAGCTTGGATTGCCTGAAGCAGCCAAGAAATCCGTGTGGTGAACCTTGTCAATTCTGTAGACTCAGTGATGTTGTGACGATGTTCCCACCACCCCCAAAGGCAATGGCCACGCCAATTCGTTTGACGTCGAAAGCGAAGGTCGAGTTCCTTGGTGACGTGGCAGCGTAAAGAGACTGAGAAATCAAGAGAAACTGCTCAAAACCTGCGAAACAGGGCACTTACTTCGACCGCTGATTTTGAGTAATGGACGAGATTCCCTCGCATGGCCATCCTGAAAGCCGTGCTCTGCCTTCTGTACAATGGCCAAAGCGCAGACGGCTAAAAGCCGGCGGCTGTGGTAGCCACTGAATGTGGAGCGGAAAATGCCCAAACTCTGCTAAACTTTTTCCGCGAAAAGCGCTGCGTATCATCTGTTTGGGAACTAATTTTGCTTCATAGGATTGTTTGTTTCCCTTTATTTAATAGCCTAATAATCGCACCCGCCGCCCTCAACCCTTTGACTTTCTGGGGGACAAATATGGTCCAGACGAGCTAGCGGTGACCCTTTCATCTCTGCTGGTCCGATAGAGGGGATAGATTTTATCGCAATGCTATGCGCATGCCCCTCACTCCACGACCAAGAGATTCCCTACTTTGTTGGCAAAATATGACGCCATGGCCAGATTTTCCAAGTAATATTAGATTTATATTACTTTTTCTCAATCTGTGCGTAAGTTTTCGAGTTTCGAGCAAAGTTAGATGACAAATTCTTTCTATTTGGCGTGATGCTGAGGCTAATTGATGATAATGGAGTGCGACTTCACGTCAATGCTGTTGTAACAAAACTTGCGCGATTCGGGGAGCGAGCCGTAAAGTCGGAGTAGGTGTCGGCAAAAATGCCGATCCTTGGGAAAAAAAAAAAATTGAAGTTGTGTCAAGTGTTGATGCGAACTTTTGCCTATATTTCTTAGAACCTCAGAAAAAGTTTCAAAGTCAAGTAAGTATCGAAGTTTCTAGAGGAAACGAGGCCAAGCTGGTCCACGTGATTGTCTGATGCCCGTGTGCTAGAAAACTGTGCTGATTCTGCGTCTCGTCCGTCCCTAATTTTCTCTCCACCTGGTGTTCTTATGGGTCGCAAGATTTCATAAGACTGCTTTAGAACTGGCGATGCGATGGAATGAGCTCACAGCACAATATGGAAAGGGAATATAGCCTTTCACTATCCTAATGCTCACATCATAGGAGCTTAATCATGTGTCCGAGTCTCAGAAATTCAACGCTACAAACTCCGTTTGCTTTTTTTTCAGACTCCTCTCTTACCGCTTAAATCCGTTGGGTGTCCTATGGGGGAGCACCTTTTTTATTCTGCTTATGGCGTGAAATTACCTTACGTGTACAGTGCCTAATTGCTCATTATCACGTCCTTCTTTTCATTCAAGGACTTCTACAGAAACTCTCAGCAGTGGAAGCGCGTACTTACGAAATCGGCAATTTGATCCTGCATATATCCAACTGCAATCGCATCGATACGAGAACGGACCAGTGACGACGACCGTGGTTCCGTTTGGACACACCTGAACAAATTTCCAGTTCCTATTTCTTAATTGTAGGTCGGTACGATTTGAGAATAGGAAGAATGATTTGTATTCATTGATGGTCAGTCGGTTAACTCGGTTGATCAACCTTGTTGGGGCTATCCGAAGAGCTCACTGGGGCGAAAGGATTGGTTCCGCGCTTACCTCAGGGGATAGGGTGCGACAGTGTGTTTAAGTGATTAGTGTAAGGCCATAGCAAGCAAGCGATCATTTTTGGAAGGGGTGCTGCAGTGCACGGCTCTCAAGAAAGTAGCGGTTCAGCAATGCATACTGTATTATTACTATCCGTGCGCGGTATGCAAAAAACTCAAAGTCTCCCTTATTTTTTCGGAAAGCAAAGTTTGGAATTCGGGCTCTCTCTATCACTTGGTTCCTCCTTATTCTAGGATCTTCAGGTCAGATCAGGACATGAATAAAACAATTGCAAAGATGAGTCACCGGTTTATCAGCACCGGAGCGCATACGTACGAACCGGGAGTGTTCAGACATTCCGCTTCAGTCTGGCATGGGTTTGATGCGCACTCGTCGATGTCTAAAATTGGGACCCTTTGCAAAATCAAAATGAAATCAGGCAAATGATTGTTAAGAGGACCACCTGAGCGTATGCATGAATTGCCAGTTAATGAGGAATGGCTGGAGCGGACGTAATTGAGACACTAACCTTATAATCGGCCAGGGGTAAGAGGCGAGGAATAACTGTGTATAGCGATCTGGTGAGAGGTAGCGCAAGTGGCGCTGAGGTCAATCAACATAGCGGGCTCGTTCAAGAGATCGAATCTTGGGTACGTGGTTGTTCGAGAACTAAGTTTTCACATCCAGGGAGTCAGTTGTGATCGGTTGATCAGATTGTCTGGAGAGGATGAACTTATGAATTGACACTTCGGCGTGGGCCCCTTAAGGTAAGGTTGTGAAGGCAAAGCGCATTCAAACGCCACTATGTTTAGGAAGTCGAACGCATGCCGCATCCCAAAAAGGAATGATTAACGGCAAATGGCTTATCCTTTAATTATTATGAGTACTCCAAATACCGCTGGTTTCTAAATGGTTCTGATTCTGTGGAAGATTTCGAAATGTTACCTTCACAGTTGTGTATCACACGATCCTGAACGTCTGCAAAGGCACCTATCGCGCGGAAGCCTTCCTTGCAATGCATTCCGTTTTCATGGGTTGCCCTGAATCAAAAGTTTACAAAACGCCATTAAAGTCGATTTCCAATCCCCATAAGTAAGGAAAAAAATTTAAAAAATTTACCATCTATCGGCCGACATTCAGTATGCTCAGGGCAGATAACGTTACCGCAACGTTCATCCTGAAATCAAAGATATCTGAATTAAAGGTGAAACTCATGTGGGTAGGATTTCAGAACTGTTACCGTAGCGCTCCACCCATCGAAATGGGGAGAAGGAAAGGGAATAGGCATTCAAGGGTCAAAAACAAGGCGTGCTGACGTGTCGCCAATCCAGAAGAAATTGCTAAAGAAAGGATGTTTCTGTCTATGCAGTACTTTAATTTAACAACTCTGATTGCAAAATGGCGAAAACCGCCGCTACCACTTTCATACATTTGTCAGCTTTCAAATTTAAACTTAGCATAGTTCAGTTCAAGCGCTTCGATTCACCCCTTGGGGCCAGAGCTGCTTAGAAAGACACAACGGTAACCCAAAAGCGCCTAATGTAATGTCTTTGCATTTACGAGTTCGACAATTTTCGCCGCGCCCCGTGACTCGAGGTGAAGCCAGCAGTGATGCTCCCTATCGAAAGTCGCCGGCCTTTTTGCGTAGGGCGCTGATTGTAGGCGATGGGGTAGTCAAGATGGAAGAAACGCGGCTATCAGTTAGGGGGATCAATAGGTGCGGATGAATCCAAAAAGTAACTCTGAGTCAAGGGCGAGTGGAGACAGGGCTAGGGGAGTGAGCGAGGGGGGGGGGTGAGGGCAGCACTTCGCACATCGTGCAGAAGCTGGGAGTTTCGAGGTTTACATTAGTCGCCGAAGAATTTGCATCTGATGCCCCGTAACTGGAAAGACCGAAGAAATTTTGTACATTCCAGCAGGCTGTGAATACGCTCGAGGAACCTTCTCGTCTCGCTCTCTGCTGTGCGAGAGTAGAGCCGATAGTGAATGTACGCGCGGAGAGCACAGACGGCTCGCGGGTGGCGAGAGTGAATATCCGCGCGCGAGAACGTAAAGGATCAGGTGCGAAAACCTCGACGTGCCATTGAGGAATCCTCAAGCAATATTCTTACTTGCTATCCCGATCAGTAGAGGCTGCTCTTTTTTTCCAGATGAGATGCTCAACTAGCCAGGCTAGCCACTGAGCTGGAAATCGTTCTCTCAAAGCAGCATTAGATGACGAACGATTACCGAGCAAATAGTTATGGATACCAGGCCTAAGAGAAGTACGGAACCGAGTAATGGCGAAGGTACATAAAAATGGGGGAATGAATAGAGAAAGAAAAGAGAGGAAAATAGAGAACCAATCGATTTTGGTCCCAAACATCGTAAGCTGACGGTGAGTGTTTCCACTAATTTACTCGGGCGGGGAATACAAAGTACCTGATGAAGGCGATCTGGGGCTAGGCCTGCGGCAAATTCTAGTGATCTGGCTGTTCTCAGTAGTTCCATTTCTAGATTAACGACAACTGAGGCCGTCGTTACAGATCATTCGAAAAGATGACCGCAATCAAAGATGATCATCCGCAGCCGATGTTACCAGAAAAAGGCTAGTATTTAGCAGATTGGGTCAGCAAAAATATCCGACCGTCCTACCGATCCAACCTTGCAGAATTAGTTACACATTTTGCACCAAAATAAAAGCTTAACGCTACATCAATTTTCCAGAACCACTCGCGTGTAACTGAGTCTGCAGTTACGGAATGCTCAGCCGCGGGAAATAGGACACAGATCTAGCGCACAAACTACGTGTACAGCAAAAAAGACTAACTAAGACTTTGCTCGTGGACAACCAGCACCATATTCTCACCTTGAAAATCTTTTCGTTGTTACGAAAAGTGCCTGTATCATGTAGTTTCAGCATCAACTGCAAATGAGCGACCAATGATCCTTCAGTGAAATTGTTGAAGACGAGCTTGATCAAATTGACACCGTAGATTTTGTCAAACTGAAACATTCCAACTCTTACTGAGCTGATTGTTACCGTATCTAACTCATTTACTTTTTCAACTTTAAACGCAGTGTGTGAACCTTGTCTCATAAAACGGTACTTCCCATGAACCAAAACATTCAAAGGAATGGCTACAGTTTTGCTACAAGCTCCCAGCTTCCTGGTGAATCTGTCTTGTCCGCCGGGAAGGTGATTGTTAATGGTACACAATTTCAGTGATCTCAGAGCTTTTGGCATGATGCCACTAACGCAGTCAGATTTTCGCGAAGGAAGAGAGGATTTATATCAAAGAACCACACTGGATATAGAAAGGTCCAAATCGGCAATCACATCCCGATTTGTAAGTAAGTACGTCACATCAAGGTTTATTCGTCTTTCCCCTGTGTCTTTATTTCGCCAATCCCAACTCACTGATGAGCTCCGGGGATTGACGAAATAATAAGGTTCGTCTGAGGAAGGAGCGAAACGAACCGTATCAATTATTTTGTTTATAATGGTTTTTCTTTCTTAATTAAACATCTACAAAGCGTTTCCAATAGATTGAGTCGTTCAATAAAGACTCCTTTGATACACAAGTTCTGCAACTGCAAAATGTTACTGCAGATCTATTAGATCCAGCATGAGATTTTAGACCAGCAATATACTTCTATTGAATTGCCCCTAACGATACGTCGTATACCCAGGTTGGAATCTATGATAGCTAATCATGTATAATCTATTGTTAGACGTGAAGCGATAGTTCTTGCCGCGGAACCATATGTAAGGCCGATGTCAGACTTTGCGAATCGCGCGATTCGCTAGCGTCTGCGGTCGCGTCGCGGCCAGTGAATCACTCAATTGGCTGGTACCGCAACGCGACCGCGGACGCTAGCGAATCGCGCGATTCGCAAAGTCTGACATCGGCCAATGCTTTCAACTCACTGCTGCCTGAATCAGCTTTCTGGCCGAGATCGCTTCAGGATGAGTGACATTGTTGTAAATCTCCGAGTATGGTGTGTGTTTGAAGTACAGCGTGATGTTGACTCGCTCGCCGACTGAAATTATCGACACGTAAGGCAAAATAAAGCCCTGAAGGCAATGATCAAGATGGCCGGAGCACGTATCGTTTTTGATGACGCCGTTGCGCCACTGGTGGGAAGGGTGTTAGAATCAAAGTGGTGTTGTTCTCGCACATATATATGAAAGCATTAGGATCAAATGGGCCGAAAGCCAAGAAAAAAGAAAAGAATTTGTCAAACTCGCTAAATTAAAGGACTTGATCTTGACCATATGATTCAGCAGTGCTAATGAGAGATTGAGCATGGAGGGGAAAGGATGGACAAGAGGCAAAAGGGACAAGAGGGCGAAAGACACCAGCGTCAAGCGGACGAGGGAAATGAAGCGGTTGAAGCAGTCTCTACTAGCCCCTAGCGCCTTTGTTTCACATGCGTGGTAGGACGCAACGTATGCAAACTTCGAATAGCTCTGCATAGCGCACCTCAAGAACTCATCCACCTGAAATTCATCCCGGATTGTGCGTTCAAGAGGCGGTACCAATCATACCCTCTCAGCATGCTGAGGAGTTAGGTCTACCAATAGTGTTAAGTGACGCCATTAAAAAAGCACCGCCCTCTAGTCATTGTGATCACTGTATCAAGGAACTCCAGACCTCAAACTTGGGTAATTAAGTGAGTGCAATGAACTACGTATTGTGCTAAATAAGAAAGGAAGAGCACCGTGAACTAAGCCGAAACATGACAGGAATACAAGAAGGAAGCAAGAGTGAAAGTGAAAAAGCAAGGAAGAACTATCGGTTGCCCCAAGTGGAAGGAAGAAGCCCCCTGGGAGAGGGTGCTCCTAAGAGAAAAGAGCGTATAGCGAGGTCACGCCCCCTTGCGTTGGTTTTGCAGAAGCATGGTTGCGCGGTGATCAAGCGATAAGCGGTAGGACGGCATGTTGCGAATTCTTGC